TACCAGACGGTCGATTCAGGCAGCTTCGAGTGGGAGAGGTCCAGGCTCGAGGCCGACGACCTGAATGGGCAGCGCTGGACCTTGCCAGCCTATCACAATGGGAGGGTTGGCATCGCGACCCATTTGGTCATCATCACCAAGACGGCGGCCACCATCGCCTCATGTCGAGATGGTCTGGTCAGAACAACTGCCTGACAGGGTGGTCCGCACCTGCCTTCGAAAGGGATTGGCCGCGGCGCCGTCCGTACACCCATGGAGGACAATCCAAGGACCCGATCTCGGCGCTGGCCCTCACCCTCAGAAGGATGGATTGGGGCTTCGTTGGAGAGGACCCGTTTCTTGTCCATAATGCGACGGGACCCGCGTTGGGTGTACGAAGGCACTCGCCAGCATTTTTCGGCAAGCTGGCCATGCTCGAGTGTAGGCGAGCCCTCGGATTGGAGGAGGTTGCCCGTCAAGGTCCCAGCATGTTGAATTGGGAGGTGGCGCCACTTTGGAAGCCAGCTATGGAACGCCTGAGCGAAAGTCACATGTCTATGTCTGGCGCAAGCAATCAGCAACAGGCTCTACGAGGCCCGATCCAGAACGTGTACTGGTGCCACGCAAGGGTACGGGTCAGAGATCCCGCGACTCCCAAGCACTGACAGCTATGCTCCTCCGAGGACGGCTCGCTGTTCCACAGGCGCTACTTAAAAGTGCGCCGCCCATGATGCCTGGCGGAGAGAGACACGACAGACCGAGATTTCAGGGCGGCATCGGGGGCGGTCCAGGGCATGGGCTCCCCGTTCACCGAGCTCTTAGCGCGCGGCCTGTTCCCAAACGTGCAGAAGTTCCACAACAGGCCTGGGAGGACGCCAGACCTGGAGTTTCGATGCACAGCCTCATGGCGGCGGCTCGGGCCATTCCTTGAGCCTGGCTCCTACGTCGTCGCGGACGGCTCAGGCATGGACCGGGCATTCCCAGCCTTGCGCACGGCTGGCTGGGCGGTGGTCGTCTACGACCCCGGCCGCCGCTTCCTTGCAGCGGCATGGGGGGCAGTCCCCCTCGATCAAGGACCAGAGCAGCAGCACCGAGACGGGGAGGACTACGCGGTCAAAATTCTGACGGGCAAGAGCGCTGGCGGAGACTACAAGCTGCACAGTGACTGTCTGGCTACGGCTCGTTGCGCCATGGCTCCACCCATGGCGGCTGAGCCCAAGAAGCAGCGAGCACACCTCTGGGCAGGGCACAGCGACGAGCTCGAAGGAGTCCAAAACAGGAAGGTCAAAGCGCGTCTAGGCTAGAACGCCGTGGCGGATGGACACACCACGCAGATGCAGCTGGGCGGCAACCGCAAGGCTGACCAGCAGGCCAAGGCTGGGACACAGCTCGCCCAAGCCAATCCAGATGACATCCTTGTCTTGGAGGGGTGCCACTACAATGCCAAGTTTGCGGGGCATTTGCATGAAGCGATGCTCAGTGAACACAAGATCCGAGACAGCATGAGGGTGGAAGCGCGCAGGATCATCGACCCGGGCGTGTTCCAACCAGAGTGCGACGCCATATGGCACGACCTGGAACAGCCGAGCGGCCAGCTTGCGGACCCGCCGGGCTTGGCGCTGGAGCAGCGGCTGGACCAGCCAGGAGGAGCCCGAGGCCAGTGGCTTGCAGACAGAGGCGGTCGCGCCTCAGTCTCAGCCGACGCCAGTGAAGGGGCCCCAGGACACACAAATAAAAAAACACAAATAAAAATATTCCCCGTATTTTCCTATATTTTCTGGGTTTTCGTCTTCCCCCCCACTTCCCATATTTCCCAATATTTTCCTGGGAGTCGACGATTAATTGTGTCTGTGTGTTTTTTCCCCTCCTGAGCCAGACCCCGAGGGCGCAGCCGGGCTCCCCTCCAAGGCCCCAAGCAAGGCGGCGCGCGGCGCCGCCCAGCCTCGGAGGAGGCGGTCCTCCCGCCAGGGCGCGCCAACGGCCACCTCACCCTCGCAGCGCCCGTCTACCCGACCGATGAGGCGAGGAGGGCGGGCCAGCCCGCGATGAGCACACTCCTGTACTGCACGTGCTGCTCGGGCGATGCTTCGGGAAAGAAGGGTCGGGGGGGGCCGCCGGCCACGACTGCCAACGCACCAGCTCGTCGCAGCGCCCACCCTGTCTGTGCGACGCCACCCTGAGAGCGGGAAAGGCGCCCTTTGCCCCCCCTCCCCCGCGTCAGTCCAGATGAAGGAGTTCGGGACACGGCACTGACAGGCCCTCGGCCGCTCAGAAGAGGTCGGCCCCCCCCCCGCCGAGGGCCCACCGTCCGCGGGCCGCAGCAGCCCTGTCCTCCTCCGTGTGCCCGCCTCCCTCGGGCTCACGCCAGCTGCGGCCCAGGCCTCGGGGCCCCAGGCAGTCAAAGCTAGAGCTCGGCGAGAGCAGCCCTGTGGTCCGCTCCAGCAGGATCGGGTGCAAGACGCCATTTCGGCGGGGTCGGGCCTCTCGGGCCGCGCGGCCTGAGAAAAGGCCTCAGGGACTGCCGAGGTGGTAGACGCGACTCCTTGACCCTCCCCCTCCTCCTCCTCCTCCTCCTCCCTCCTCCTCCTCCTCCTCCTCCTCCTCCTCCTCCTCCTCTTCCTCATCATCATCCATCATCATCATCATCATCATCATCATCATCATCATCATCATCATCATATCATCATCATCATCATCATCATCATCATCATCATCATCATCATTCATCATCATCATCATTCATCATATCATCATCATCATCATCATCATCAATCATCATCATCATCATCATCATCATCATCATCATCATCATCATCATAATCATCATCATCATCATCATCATCATCATCATCATCATCATCATCATCATCATCATCATCATCATCATCATCATCATCATCATCATCATCATCATCATCATCATCATCATCATCATCATCTCCTCATCATCATCATCGTTGGGCTGCAGGTTTTTCAATCCTTCGCACCCCCCTGCAGTCTCCACACGGGGGAGCTTTCACGGACTTCCGATCCGATCCGATCGTCCTCCTCGTGTTCCTCGTCGAGAGCATCATGGGGGGAGGAGGACAACAGGCGGGACCCTGCTTTCTTCCAAGGCAAGGCCCCCTCCTCCTCCTCATCCTCTTCATCCTCCTCCTCCTCCTCCTCCTCCTCCTCCTCCTCCTCCTCCTCCTCCTCCTGGAACCGGTGTAGCCGCGATGCTATGCGGCTACACCGGTTCCAGCATGATACGGATGAGAGCTACGCCAAACGACAGCGACGGGAAACAAAGGCTCTTCGACTGGACGCACACATTGTTGACGCTGATGTGGTGGCTCTCAAGCGTACGTTTCAATATGCTGGTCACACTGCCCGTCGCATCAAGTACGCACCTGACGATCTGCCTTGTCAAGCGCTTCTGTGGAACTGCTGGCGCAGATGCCAGGAGAACGTTACCAGATCATGGCATCGCCAAGGGCACCCACGCCGGTTTGCCCCCTGGCACTGGGAGCAACAGTTTGTGAAGTTCTTCAAGGAGGAGGGCCTGGACTGGATGGAGGAGGCATGCGTTAGAGGGAGGTGGAATCAGTGGGAGGAGAAGTGGGTGAGGCACATGTTAGGCACACAGCATGTTAGCGCCATCATTTAGCACTGCGTTCGTTGTCCTTGCTTTCAGTTTTCAGATTTTGCAGGCCTTTGGCATTTAGACGGGCGGAGAAATCGTTTAGGCCCGACCACCACCACCACCACCACCACCACCTCGTCCTCCTCCTCCTCCTCCTCCTCCTCCTCCTCCTCCTCCTCCTCCTCCTCCTCCTCCTCGCATGCAGTCACACTTGCCCGCCAGAGTCTCAGGGCGACGAGATTGTGGAACCCGGGAGCGGCGAAGAGGGGAAGTATCCACGCGGGGCGCCGAGACAGCATGGTGATGCAGTTCTGGCCTTCGATGAGCAAAGGCGTCGAGGACGAGGAGGAGGAGGAGGCGGAGGAGGAGGGGAAGCGGAGGAGGCGGAGGAGGAGGAAAAGGAGGAGGAGGAGGAGGAGGAGGGGAAGCGGAGGAGGCGGAGGAGGAGGAGGGGAAGCGGAGGCGGAGGAAAAGGAGGAGGCGGAGGAGAAGGGGAAGCGAGGTAGGGCTGGCGGCACGGGACCATCCTGGGACCAGGAGGTGCGAGTACGCCCTCCTGGCTTGGCCAGAGAGGCGCACAATCCCTATCGGACTACCTGCCAGACCACCCCAACCCGACCCGCAGACCAAACTTTCAGCCTCGGGGGGTATGGGTTCCAAATGTGTTTTTTCAATCAATGTTCCCCGACGCCCCCACCCCCCCACACACTGGGAATGTAGGGCAGATTGGGGCCTTCGGGTCGGTTCGGGGTGGTCTGGTGGGTGGTGACGACACCGGCCCAGGCGGCCCAGGAGCGACCTGACCAGGAGCGGCGGACAGGTGTACGGAATACAGACGTCGTCGCCCGAGGTCGCCCCGACGCAGCAGCGCGCACGACACGCGCGGCAGGGGGGGGGCCGAGGCAGGAGTGGCCCAGAAGATCGGATCGAGCATCAAGTCGAGCCGCATCGGCACGGAATCGGAATCGGGATCGGAATCGACTCGGCCACGCCAGGATGCACAGCAGCGCAGTGCGAGCATCGGGACGAACCGGATCGTAGGAGCAATGGAATCGACTCGGAGTGGGCCAGCCGCAATCGATATCGAATCGATACATCGGCGAAGGCGGGGTGGAGAAGAACGGATTCAAGATCGTGAAATATCGCCGATGCATCGGCGATGCGGCGAGATCCTCCGACCCCAGCTACTCCAGCCCCATTCGGGAGGCCTGAATACGACCGTGTGCTGGGGGCGAGGTTCTGGGCCGGCTTCCAGGAAGTTGATGAAGAAGCGCTCAGCCGAGCAAACCCAGGCAGGCTTCTTCATGATCGGTGCAACTACGGCGAGATCGGGAGGGAGAAACGGGCAGGCCCTGCCCCTAAGTTGGGAACTGCGGTCTCATCCACCCCGATGGACCTCTTTCTCCTGGTAGTCGATCTTGAGCACCTCTCTGGCGATTTCGACCTGTCTCACCTCGGTGATCTCCCTGATTTGCTCGCGCTTGAGAATGGCAGGGATCTCCACAATCTGCTCATGGAGCTGGATCATGGGCACCTCGACCTTCTTCTCCACGGTCTCGTTGTGCCACACCTCGCGCAAGACCGTCTGCTGCTCCCGCACATCCTTGGCCGGCCCCAAGAGGTGGCGCTCGCGGGGTTGTCCTCCTCCTCCTCCTCCTCCTCCTCCTCCTCCTCCTCCTCCTCCTCCTCCTCCTCCTCCTCCTCCTCCTCTTTCTCCTCCAGCTGGTCCTCCTCCTCATCCTGATCACCCTCATCCTGCTCCTACATCAGCATCCTCCTCTTCCTACTCCTCCTCATCTTCCTCATCATCCTGATCATCATCATTCTCATCAGCAGCAGCAGCAGATGCTGCATCATCATCACCATCAGATTCAACGTCGTCATTATCATCCTCATCATCATCAGCAGCAGCATCATCAACATCAACATCAACATCAACATCATCATCATAAGCAGCAGCAGCAGCATCGTCGTCGTCATCATCACACTCATCACCATCACCACCAACATCATCATAATCATCAGCATCAGCAGCAGCAGTATCAGCATCATAATCATCGTCAGCATCGTGGTCATCATCAGCAGCATCATCATCATCAGCATCATCAATAGCATTATCATCATAATCAACATCAGCATCATCATCAGCATCATCAGCATCATCAGCATCATCATCCTCATCATCAGCAGCATGATCATCAGCAGCATCACCATCATCGACTCATCATCAGCAACTCATCCTCATCATCCTGTATACATCAGCTTCCTCATTATCCTCATCATCACTCCCTCTCCTCATACTTTTATTCGTCCTCGGCCTGGTTATCATCATCATTCCTGCTCCTCCTCCTCCTCCTCCTTCTGCCTCTCCTCCTCCTCCTCCTCCTCCTCCTCCTCCTCCTCCTCCTCCTCCTCTTGAGGCAGGATCTGGAGGAGGAGGTGGAGGTGAAGAAGGTGGAGCGTTCAGGAGGAGGAGGAGGAGGGCAAGGAGCAGCAGTAGGAGAAGGAGGAGGTGGAGGAGAGGGAGGAGGAGACGGAGAGGGGGGGAAGGGAAGGGAGGATGAGGAAAGAAAACAAGAACGACGAGGACGACGACGACGAGGACGAGGACGCGGGCGACGGCGAGGGGAGGAGGGGGGATTAGAAGGGAGGAGGAGGAGCAGCAGCAGGAGGATGGAAGGGATGAATGTGGAAAAAAAGGCGGGGAAACGGAAAAGGACAAGTGATTGGAGGGGGAGGGATGGGTAGGAGAGGCAAAGGGAAATGGAGAAGGAGAGGGAGGGGACGAGGAGGCATGGAAAGGGAGAAGGGATGGCAGGGCGAAGCCAGGAGGAAAGCGAGGCGAAGTGGAAAAGGGAAGGGAGGAGGAGGAGGAGGAAGAAGAGGAAGAGGAGGAGGGGGAAGAGAGAAGGGGGAGGGAGGAAGAGGGGGAAAGGGATGAGGGTGGGGTGAGCAAGGTGGAAGGAGAGAGGGAATGGAGAAGGGGAGAGGGGTGCCGGGCACTAATATAGGATGCCCGCAACATTGGCTCTAGTGCTGGCATGTGTTGTTCCTTGTTGGCCTCCTCCTTTTGGCGAACACACGCTGGGGTGAACTGGGTCGATCTCAGATGAGGTAAGCTAGTTTCAAGCGAGCGACCCTGAGTCAGACTGAGCTAAGATAATGGGTTAAGCTGAGCTCCGGTGGTCAAGGACAATCGAAAGGGAACAGCAGTAATATCAAGGTGAGGTCAGGTGGGCGAAAGAACGCGATGCTTGTTTTGTATCCTCTGCTTCTCCAGGTGAGCCCGTCTGTGAGTCTGCGCGCTCGTAGCTCATACAGCGCCCAGAATACCACATTGGCTCATTCTCCCTTACGCCTCGTCCCTGTACTGCTTAGACTCATCATCGCCACCACCATCACCATCACCGTCCTTATCCTTACTTATCCACCTGTGCAGAATAGCTCACAGCTCTGAGATTCGGAGGCGATAACATGATAGAACCCATGTAAACTCTGGCGCCACTGCGTCACCTGGCAACGATGAGCTCAACCGTGCGCGTGCCCGAACGCGCGCGTGTCGGCATCCGCCCGACAAGCCTGCGCGAGCTAAGGAGGAACTCTCAAGGGCACGAAGGGGCAGGAGGGGAAGGGGGAACGCAGGAACAGTTAGCATCGAATCGGGAAATCGGACCACGTCTGAATGTGCGTCTGATCGAGCTGCACTGATCGGCCACGCAAGAATATACAATTGCGCCAGGCCGCAACGAATCATCGGAAGACCGGAAGCGAACTGGATCGAGCCAGCCAGAACCGATACCGAACCGGACCGGTAGGATCAAAATGGACCCTGGGAGGAAGGGAAGGCCGTGATGGCCCAGACCTCCAGCGTCATGATGCTGTCCGCGGCCCGGGCCTCTAGAGCTCTCGACCCGGTCCCCAGGACCAGCTTGCCTCCACGAGGGCGTTTGGCTTCTCGGCCTCTGGTCCCCGAGCCCGAAAGGCCTTCGAAGGCCCACCTAGCAAGAGATTACCCGAGACGTACCCGACCCATCGGCAGCAAGTGGCCATGAGCAAGGAGCCCTCCACATCCGGAAGGCAACGTGAAACGGAGCTCGATTCGGTTTGAAAGCTTCACGGGGGGTTACGCATTCCACGACCCACGGCAGCAGCCTCAAATACGTCAGCGCCGTGGCGCCATGCGTGTGACACCACTGCGCTGGCTCTCCCAAGGGGGCCGTAGAAGCAGCGACGGCTGCGCAGGGTGCCCGCACCCCCAGAGAGCCGCGAAGTCTGGTCTGCATGTGCGTATGACACCACCTGGCTGGGCCTCCCAGGAGCCCATGGAAGGGGCGACGGTTGCGCACGTGGCAGCACTCACTCCCAGGAAGCCGCGAGGTCCAGTCCGAGCGCGCGACTGACACCACTAAGCTGGGCCTCCCAAGAGCTCACAAAAGTGGCGACGGTTGCGCAGGTGGCAGCACCCAAAAGGAGCCCCCTCTGCGCTGGAACTTCCAAAGGCCCACGAAAGTAGCGACAGTTACGCTGGGGGCAGCACACAACATGAGAACGAGGTCTAGTCTGGGTGCTCGCATGTCCCCACTGCTCCGGGCCTCCCCGGAGCCCACGAAAATGGCGACGCTTACGCAGGTGGCAGCACCCAAGCAGAGAGCGAGGCCTTGTCTGGGTGCGCGCATGTCCCCACTACACTCGGCCCCCCAGGAGCGCACGAAGGAAGCAACAGTTGCGCAGGTGGCATGAGCCAAATGGAGAGCGAGGACTAGTCTGGGTGCGCGTATGTTCCCATTGCGCTGGGCCTCCCAGGAGGCCACGAAAGTGGCGACAAGTGCGCAGGTTGCAGCACCGAAAGGGAGAGCGAGGTCTAGTCTAGGTAAGCGCATGTCCACGCTGCGCTAAGACTCCCAGGAGCCCACGAAAGTGGACTGCGTTGAGCCTCCCAAGAGTCCACGAAAGTGGCGACAGTTGCGCGGTTGGCAGCACCGAAAACGAGAGCGAAGTCTAGCTGGGTGCGTGTACGTCTCTATTGACCAGGGCCTCCCAGCAGTCCACGAAAGTTGCCACAATTGCGCAGTTGGTAGTCCCAAGGAGGCGAGCGAGGTCTAGACTGGGTGCGCACATGTCCCCACTGCGCTGGGCCTCCCAGAAGCCCACGAAACAGGCAACAGTCGTGCAGTTCGCCGCCCCGCGTGGTAGGGAAGACGGAGGCAGGAGGCAGGAGGCTAGAGGAGCAAGGGGGAAGAGGAGAAGGAGACGTGCGCAGAGTGCTGTCTTCAAAACGAAAATCCCACACAGAAGAAGGGAATACAGCAGAGTGTAGAAGAACGGAGGGGGAGAGGAGAGACTGGGCGGGAGAAGGTTGCGCGAACAGTGTGTTTTCTCAAACGAAAAGAGGGACCGGCCAGAGCAGAGTTGGAAACAAAACAACAAACACAAACAAACAAGACATAAAACAGTGCTCACCACAAAGAACTCACATCGTGCTGTCAGGGCGGCATTCCCCAGCCGCGCCGTCGACTTGTCACTGTGCATCGCCGACATGCTCAAGGTGCGCAACGCTTCGCGCATCACCTCGCGACGAGCCGCAGAGAAGAAGAGCGAGGAGAGGGACGAGGACGAGGAGGAGGAGGAGGAGGACACAAAGGTGGTAGAGGGGGAAAGAAGAAGGCTTGGGACGGGCCACCAGTCCCAGAAGCAACGTCTGAGTCAAACAAAGCGCGAAGGAAGAGCAAGACGAGGAAAATGACGGAGAAAGATGTGGAGGCCGAGGACGACAAGTTTCAACAGCTGCTGCAGCAGGAAGAATGGGGTAGGGAAGGAATGAAGCAGGGCACGGCAGACAGAAAGAAGAAGAAGAAACCTATAAGCAGGCGAAAGCGCAGGAGAAGGGCATGGGAATGGAGGGGGATGAGATGAGAGAGAGGGGATGAAGGAGGAAGGAGCGGACAGGGTGCCAATGAGCCAGAGGAGAATGGAGCACAAATGTAAAACCAAGAAGTTCCAACGATGTTGCATAAACCATCTCTCCAAATTCCCAAAATCTAGTTTCAATGCGGGAATTGGCCCGCTGGACGGAAACCAGCTGAGAATCCTCAATCTGGCCAAGACACCGTTCCTGGGATTTCGACGCCGCGGATCAACGTGACTGCTGTGTCCAGTCAATCATCCGTGTTTCCTCATACGAACGAGTGACATCCACATTGCACCTTGTCAACTGCCATGCGATTCAAAGAGTCGCCAAGCAAACAGGGCGCAAGCCCTTAGCCCAGACATGTCCAAACCGTTTCAAAAACAAAACCAGGGACTCCAGCACTGCGAATCGAGGACACTGCTGCGTCCTGACAATCCTCAATCGCGCCAGAACACCGTCATTTGGACTTCAACCACACGAAGCCTTCAGCATGTCAGCCACTGTGGACCCCAAGCAGTGTAAATTCTAGCAATCCGTGTTGCGTCACAACAACATTCATATGTGTGCGTGCGTGCGTGTGTATAAATAGATATGGTGCTACCAAGGCTGTGCGATATATGTAGCTCAACACTTGTTGTGCAGCATATGTTGTGCAACGTTGGTGGTGCAATCTATGTGGTGCAACGCATGCAATGCAATATATGGTGTGAACGATCAAGGGCACGCCACAGGTGCGAACCAAAACTCGTGCAATCTATGAGCTGCAATTAATCTTGACCGTCTTGAAGCTGTCCTCTCCACTGCTCGTGCAAACATCCCACCCTCCCACCCGCAACTAGGTCGCAAGACCTCTTCAGACAAGACCGTGACGGTAGGTACCACATGGCACTTGGCCACGACACCGACGCCGACGACGACAGCGACATCGACGACGACGGCGCCGCCGACACCGACTGCGACGACACCGACGACGTCTCCAATGTTTTCGACGACGACAACGACGACGACGACGACACCGACGACGACGACAACGACGCCGACGACGACGACGAAGACGACGACGACGTCGCCAACGGAGACGGCGACGAGGGAGGAGAAAAAACGACGACGGCGACAACGACGACAACGACGATGGAGGAGGGAAGACGGCGACGACGCCAACGACGAAGAAGGAGGAAGGACGGCGACGCCGACGACGACAACGACGAGGGAGGAGGGAAGACGACGACGACGACGACGACAACGACGACGAAGACGACGACGACGGCGACGAAATAGGAGGGACGACGACGAGACGCCGACGACGGACGACGACGACGAGGGAGGAGGATAACGAGGGAGAAGTGAAGACCACGACGACGACGACGACGACGACGACGACGACGACGACGACGACGACGGCGACGAAATAGGAGGGACAACGACGAGACGCCGACGAAGACAACGAGGGAGGAAGGACGACCACGGCGACAACGACGAAGGAAGCGACGACGACGCCAAGACGACGACGACGACGACGAGGAAAGACAGAAGACGACGACGGCGATGACGACGACGACGAGGGAGGAGGGAGGACGACGACGACGACGACGACGACGACGCAAGAGCGCGCGCGCACACTTTTGTTGAAAACCCGTGTTGCGAAACCTTGTGTTTTTGTAGGTTTTGCACGATTTCTAAATCCTTCCGAAACCAAATGTTTTTGAAGGATTTCGGCATACGCCCGCGACGACGCGCGCGTCTGCACTTCGTCCCATTTTTTGCAGAGGATTCTCGCGACGGCACACGCGCAAGGGCGTTCGACAGATTTCGACATGCGCGCGCGAAGCCCGTTTGGTAGCATTTTGTGAAAATCTTGGAAAACCTATGGTTTTCTTAAGATTTCGCAAGAGCTCGCGCGTAAGTTTTTTAAGCGAATCAGTGTTGCGAAACCATGTGTTTTTGTTTGTTTTTTGGAAATTCAACTTTGAAATCTCTCCGGAACCGAAGGTTTCTGAAGGATTTCGGCATGCGCGCGCGACGACCCGCGCGTGTGCACTTCGTCCCAGTTGTTGCAAGGTATTCGTGAAAAAGTGCTATGTTAGAACAAAAAATGTCACCGCATAGTGTTTTTTACAAGGGAACCTCAGGGGGGGGAAACCGGCCTGCCTGGGATGATATGATTACATATTTAGGATGGACGAGTGTGCAGAATATATATATATGTAATTATACTATCCCAGGGGGAACCGTTAAGCCCGGGGGGGGTAGAGTCTATTCTCTTTTTAGAAAGGAGAATATATGTGGTGCCCTCTGCGTGGTGCAATCTACGTGGTGCCATATATGCGTGCAATCTCTGTGGTCCAGTTCTAGGTTGTGGACAATATGTTGTGCAATCGAGGTGGCTGCTCAGCATACGCGGTTACGCAAAATGCGCTGTGATTGCTTTTCTTGTTGTTTCCCCGCCCCTCGCTGACTCACCCACCCGCCCACCACCAGCGCCTCTGAGCGGCACGCCGGGCCGCGGGGCACCTCAGCAGGCTGAGGCCGAAGATGAGCAAGCACAGATGCCAGGAAGGGCTCAGACTGTAACATTGGAACAGCGAAATACAGCAGGTCCACTACGCGAGACCAGCGCCAGATTCCTTCAGAGTGTCTGCTGGGCCGCACAGTCTGCCCTGTGCATCGACGCTCGCGTTTATGCCCAGAGCCCCTGGTTGCCAGTGCCAGCCGCAAAATGCAAGCGAGACCTTGTCGGGACGGGATATACCGCAAATCGCATGAGGGCAACTCTTCTGAGAGCATCAGCTACCGTCCACGAGATAGCCCACGGTGCGAGGAGAACGAAACGAGGGCCTTTCTCAGCAGTCTCGAAGACGGGCTGGATGGCGCCAGGCTCGGCGCCCCGGCAGGAGCCGTTCTCGGCGCCGGGCTCGCGCTGCAGGGCGCCAGGCTCCGAGACGGTCGGGGCGCCGGGCGTGGCAGAGCCAGGCTCGTGTTTCAGAGAGCCGGCTGTGTCTTCAGGCCGAGAGGCAGACCTCGAGCCAGCCAGGGGGCCCCGCTCGGAGCCAGGCTGGGAGGCGGGCGCCGATCTGTCTCCAAGCTCGGGGAACACCGGCATGATGCCAACTGGGCGGAGCATGCCGTGGCACCATCAATCCAATGGGTCCCAAAACTGCGCCCCCCAGAGAGGCTCTGCCTGTTGATCGGCCGGGCGCATACCAGGCTGGCACTTGGCAGCGGCGAAAGGGACCACGAAGCGAACGCGTTTGTAATGGTACTTGGCTGCACGCCCTCTGGGGCGGCCGTTATCAAGGCATCGGATACTCGTCGGGGCTACAGTCGGGCTGGAACTCGTTGCTCCGCTTCCTGCCCCACCGCATGGGGGCCATGCTGTCGGCCCCGGGCCCCGTCGCAGTGCTGGGCCACGTCCACGGCCACCTTCGTCATAGTCCTCGGGCTCTTCTCTGCACAGGGCGCGGGTGTCAAGATCGTCACACCGTCGAAGTACTGAACGATGCGCCCGAGCATTCCCTCCAGAGGACCGCCACAGCCCGCCGAAGGCCCGCCGAAGCGTTTCCTCGAACTCCTGGATCTGAGCGCGTAGGCCAGACCGAAACGCCACTACCTTGGCCGGCGCTAGGACGAGCCGTTTCTTCATCGAGGGCCTCTGGCAGAAAGGCGCAGTCCAAGCACCCGGGGGCGTCGTCGGTGATGTTGTCAAGGCTGTCGAGGACAGGGTCGGCCAATGCGGCACGGTCAACCTCGGCCGCTTGAGCGTTCCCACCAGAGCTGGGCGTTGCACCCGCCGCCGGATCAGCGCAGTCTTGTGGGCGATGCGCAAGCGCAGTGCCTCGTGCGTCTCCCACTGTTGCGTTCTGGAGCCGGCCCCCCTCAGCAGCGGGGAGTGCTGGGGTGGCAGCTACAGGGGCCTGCGGCGGAGGAGCGAATCGTCGGTACAGCCCTCCTGTACGGCACCACCGAGTTCGGCCATCCTCTTCTGGTAGCCCGCCTCTGGGCGCAGGCTGGCGAAGGCCGCCATTGCCGCCTCCTCCGCTCGGGCCACCTGGGCCCCGAGCGAGCCATCGCAGCTGCATCCAGCCGTGGGGGCGTTCGCTGCCATGCGCCGCGCCCGCGGAGCGGGAGGAGCAGGGCCGAGGGGAGAAGGAGGGCGGAGTGCGCCGAGAGCTGCGCTCCGGGCCGCAGTGTCTTGAGCCTTGAGCAGTAAATGTTGAAATATGTGGTGCAACCTATGCTGTGCAACACACGTGGTGCACTATATGTTGTAACCGATCAACAAGCACGCCGCAGGCGCTGTTCTTTTTTTTGCGTGCAATCCAACGGCGACGACGGGCGGCGACGAAGTGTCGACGGGGCGGCCACGGCGACCACACAGCCGCCAGACTGGCCATACGGCCCAAGCGACGAGCGGCGACAACGCGGCGACGGGGCAGCGACGACGATCACATTGCCACCAGAAGGGCCACACGGCCCAGACGGCGGGCGGCGACGAAGCGGCGACGGGGCGGCCACGGCGACCACACAGCCGCCAGACTGGCCACACGGCCCAGGTCGTTAGAGGAGAAGGGAGAACCCCCTAAGCGCAAGCTTTGTTTAGGGAGCCTGTGTGGTTGTGCAACATACGTTGTGGAACCTCTGTAGTGCAATCGACGTTGTGTAATATGTGTATATAAATGTGGTGCAATTAGTTTTTGTTCGCAATGAGTTGTCACCTCCACTTGTCGCGCAATCATCCCACCCACCCACCCGCATCCTAGCCTGGAAAAAAAAGCGGTGGCGATTGCGATGAATGCTTAGCGTTGGGCGGTGCATCTGTGCAGCCGCGCCAACCCCAGCACGCGCGCGCAGCGGCCACCTACTTTAGCGCGACCAACGCGGCCGTGGTGGCGCTGACCGCTGAGCACATCCTAGCGGACACTTCAGTGCGAGCCAACGACTTGGGCGCACGCGGTATCATGGCAACATCGCCAGCGGTAGACACGATGGTAATACTAGCGATGCTGGCGTCAATGTTGACAACGACGACGGCGCGGTCAGTGCGGGCGCCGATGCTGATCACGCCGACGACGACGACGGCGTCCTCGAGTCGGCGATGAAGGTTTTGGAAAGAGTTCGACATGCGCGTGCGGCCGACGCGCGAGAGTGGCCCGCATGGTTTTATGTGACACGGATCGCGCCTCCCTATCACGGGCCCAAGGGCGTGCGAATGATGTCGGCATGCGGCGCCAGAGGCCCGGTTGGCAGAAGTCATAACAACGTTTTGCTTAGAAAGAAAAATATGGTTTCCTTGAAAATTCGCGAGAGCGCGCGCGCAAGTTTCTTTTGACAACTGATGTTGTGAAACCATGTGGTTTTGAACGTGTTTGGGACATTTGGTTTTGAAACCGCTACGGAACCGAAGGTTTTTGAAGGGCTTCGGCATGCGCGTGCGACGACGCGCACGTGTGCACTTCGTCACCTTTGTTGCAAAGGATGCTCGCGACGGCACGCGCGTCAAGGCGTTCGAACGATTTCGACATGCGCGCGCGAAGCGATTGGTATCATTTTCAGAAATGTTGATAAACCTACGGGTCCCTCAAGAATTCGCCAGAGCGCGCGAGCACGCTTTCCTTGAAAATTCGTGCTGCAAAACCATGTGTCTTTATATGTTGTTTGGAGACCCGATGTTGAAGTCATTCTGAAACCGAAACTTGTTGAAGGATTTCGGCATGCGCGCGCGACGTCGCGCGCGCGTGCGCACTTCGTCCCACTTGTTGCAAGGGATAATTGAGAACTGCTGATGTTTAATAAGCGAGTGTGCGCGTAGCTTGTGTGCTGAGGATGACGTGGGGGGTCGATACCAGTTTGGCTGGGATGGTACGAACTCATACTTAGGATGGGCAATGGGGCAGAATCATATGTAAATTTCAATACGTAAAAGGGGTACCGATAATCCCAGGGAGGGGGGGTAGAGTCTATTATCTTTTAGGAAAGAGAATATATGCTGTGAGCGGTCGATGGGCGGCGACCAGGCGGCGACGACGCGGCGTCGGCGCGGCGACAGCAACCACATAATCGCCAGACCGACCACACGGACCAGACGACGGGCGGCAACGAGGCGGCGAAGAAGCGGCGACTAGGCGCCGACGGGGCGGAGACAACGACCACATAGCCGCTAGACCGCCCAACCGGCCCAGACTACGGGCGGCGACGAGGCGGCGACACGGCGGCCACGGCGACCACATAGCCACCAGACTGGCCAGACGGCCCAGTTCGTTAGAGGAGAAGTAACAAACCCTAAGTCCAAACACTGTTTGGGGGAACAGAAAAAACTTGTAAGACGAGCGTGTGCGGCGCTCAGGCGAGAGCCACATTTTGAAAAGTAACCAGTGTCCATCTCTGAAACTACTGCGAACTAATGAAACGAATGCGCGCGGTGCTAAGGCCAGAGCCACATGCTGAAAACAACCTGTACTCCACCCTTGACGCTGTTGCAAACTTGTGCGACGAACGTGCGCGGCGCTTGGGCGACAGCCACATTTTCAAAACGGCCCGCCCTGCATCCGTGAAACTGTTGCAGATTTCAAGCTTGAGGGTCATAGGAGGTGAGGAAGTCTCAGGCAAAACGCCCAGCCCACCCTACCGACACGTCTGGGGGTGCGACAGGGAGGAGTCATTCGTAAGCAAAAAGGATGGAAGAAGAAGAGGAGGAGGAGGACAAGAAGGAGGAGGAGGAGGCGGAGGAGGAGGATTCGTATCTGTGAGGTGATGGCCAAACTCTCACGCTGGCACCTTGGTGATTAATGCCGCCGTCGCCGACGATGAGTGAGTGAATTAATATATTGAGTGAGTGTATTAATTATATATATATATATATATGCTCGCGATGGCGCACGAGGGGGTGTTGCTATCGGGTGGGTAAGGATGAAGGCCCAATAGATTTGATTTGCTCCAGACGCGCGGCGACAGTCTGCCTGGGCTCTGGTCCCCACGCCGCGCTTCGTCGGCAGGACGTCCGTCGGACGGCGCTGATCGGTGCGGGCGCCACCCACTCCCCCGCGAACGCCGTCCGTCCCCTAGCCGAGGAACTACTCGCGCCAGCATGCCTGCGATGTGCACGGCCGCGGGGTGCCGACTCCTGATCGTGTGGCGAAGCTGGCGGCGCGCACAGGGGGGTAGGGGAAGGGGGAAGGCTTCTTAGAAGGATGCTGCTTCTTAGAAGGCGCGGGCCCTGCATCTACACACAAGGCCCGCGCCTTCTGAGAAGCCTTCCCTCCTCACCCTCCCCCCCCCTCTGCGCGTGGCTGGCGAAAGGCGAGCTGCCGAAGCGGCTCGGACGGTCAGCAGGCTCGGCCTCCACGATCACCTGGCGGGCTCCCGTCGCCGCCGCCCCCCAGCACCGCAAGGTGTTCCTCCCCCACCCCCCGGGGGGTGACCCTGCCGCCCTCCCGCTCCGGCAGGGGCGGGTCCCGGCGGCACCGGGGGCCGCCGGGCGGGGCCAGCCCGCCCAGCGCCCCCGCCCCCTCCCCCAGACCTCCCTGCCCGGCAGCGGCTGCAGCAAACGCGGTCGGCTGGGGGGTGGGGGGCGAGACGCGGTCGGCTGGGGGGGGGGAGGGGGGGGCGCGGCGCGGTCGGCTGGGAGGCGAGACGCGGTCGGCTGGGGGGGGGAGGGGGGGGCGCGGCGCGGTCGGCTGGGGAGGCGAGACGCGGTCGGCCGCGGGGGGGGGGGGGGGGGGGCGAGGCGCGGTCGGCTGGGGAGGCGAGAAGCGGTCGGCTGGGGGGGGGGGGGGGGGGGGGGGGCGCGCGCGGTCGGCTGGGAGGCGAGAAACGGTCGAGTGGGGGGGGGGGGCGGGGCGAGACGCGGTCGGCTGGGGAGGCGAGACGCGCTCGGTAGCCCTGCTCCAGCAGCGGCGAACGCGCTGCCTCCGCGGTGGCTGTAGCGGCCCGGGCTCCCACTGCCTGGGCCTCTCGGCGACCCCGAAGGCACCCTGGGGGCGGGCGAGGGCCTTGACAGAGTTCTCCGCCGCCCCCCGAGGAGGCCGACGAGGGCAACGTGGTGCCCCTCATGCTGAGGGGCACTGATAGGGGGGACTGGCTCAGGGGGGGGAGCATCGACCTGGAATAGGCGATGCATCGCCGATA